CAAAATTTACAAAAATCAGACTTCTGTAGCTTAAATTAAACTCAAAATAGTGCAGCATGTTGAGGCCCTCTTAAAACCAACTAGCATCATTCATTGCCATTTAAGCTCTATGTTTTTGCACACCTTCAACAATAAAAAACTAAATAAGTATGGGATTAAATTAGGACTTTTTGACTAGAAATTAACTAAAATTGTTTAAATGAAAATGCTATTACTAATAAAGCATATAAAATACCTATGCATTACTTAAAAACTAAAACTTAGCTCTGTTTAGACTCCAAAAATGATAAAGATAACTCTATATAATAAAGTTATTAGAAATACCTTGAAATGATTTAATTATGCTTGGGAAATGGAAATTGGATATACTTGGAACCTTGCTTATTCACATTGAATTGGAAACTATATTTTGATAAACACTCTTCCGTTTATGCTTGTTCCCTCCCTCGGTATCTACTCATATAGTCTTTGTGGCTCACACATTAGTTTCCCTTATTTTGTTTATAGATCAGTAGACTACTTGACTCAACATCTACCATTGTTGGTTTTAGTAGGTGATTGATAAGGCATCTAATAAGCATCAAACCTTTTTTGTAAGATGAACTCTGGTGGACTTGTCCATTTGATATACTCTCAATTTTGCTTATATTTGTAATGAATGTTATATTTATACTTTAATATTTGAGCAATATTTTGCTTCATATATATACATATATATATATATTCATTTCATGGTGATGCATCCGATGAGGTAATGAATATTGCATTCAATTTATTTGTTTTGTGGCTTGCTTGGGCTAAGTGGGACCTTCTCATTAGATCCTTGGGCCGATCATAAGATTCAAGTTTGGTTCGTAACATAGATGAAGTTGTATAAAAAGTGCCAATTGTATAGTTGACTAACAAAAGTTAGTTAACAGTTAGTGAAAGGGGTTTATTTGACACAAATAAAAGTTTTAAGGCTTAATTGAATGCAATAAAAAGATAATGGCTTAACTGACTTTTGTGGTATAGTTTAGGGGCTTATTTGGGTATTTGGCCTTAATTATTTGTTGAAAGTATTCCCATTGGATGTAGGAAATCTCAAATGTATACTAAAATAGATTTTTCTTTTCAAAAAAAAAATTGCAGATAGTTACAAGTTTTTTTCAACCCAAAATAAGAAAAAAATGCATAATTTAGATCAAATTGAAGAATAAGGGCGTAGATCTATCTAATCAGAGTTTTTGCTCTGTTTTATCTAAAGGGACTTGAAAAATGGATTGTGATTGGGATATTGGGAAAGGACAAAGAAAAACAAAAGAATTTTTTTTTTGTTTTGTGTTATCTTTGTTAGCAATTTCCATGTTAGCCTTTTTGCCACATAAACAAGTGCCATGTTATCATTTTTTTCCATATCAACACATAATTAATGCCTTGTTAACAAGAAATGTCATGTTAATTTGGTCGAAATGTCATGTCAACATACTTAATGGTGAAAATTTAATGGTGTATAGTTAGAGACTGAAATTAACATATTAGAAATACACAAGGACTCAGTTTACACAAGTTGTTGTACAAAGAGTAAATCCACATTTTTTTATAGAGTACCAGACTAATTATATAATTTAACCAATAATTTAAGTTACCTTTGTTTGATATATTTTTTATATTTTTATTGGTTTTTACTTTCTAGAAAAAATGTTGGAAGAAAGATGTTAGCTTTATTAGCTTTAAAATGGTTATAGTTTTGAAATGAAAAAATGATCAAAATTGCTTGAATGATTTTTGAAATTGTTTGATTGAGTTTTAAACTTAAATTATTCATGTTAAAAACTCCCATGCATCTACTTTTGAAATGTCTAAGTACTTGGCATCAAATTGGTTAAAAAAGAAGCATTTTTCATGATTTAAGTTCAGGGATCGATCCCCTTTTCAAAGAAGGTGCATGATCTTTGCTGTCTTCCAAGGATCAATCCTTGGGGTCTAAAGCTATCCGTTATACATAAAATTCAAAGGAAAAATGCCTAGTTTCTTCACCTAATCATCTTTAACAGCTCCAAAGCTTCTCCAACTATAAAAAGAACTTCTCCAACACATTTTGAAAGTTCAAAGAAGTGAGAAAGACACCATTTGATTTAGAATCAAGTCTTATGAAGAAGAAGAAACCAATCTAGAACAAGCAAATCACATTCTTTCACTTAGCTTTTAAGCTATCTTTAAGCAAATCAAATCTTAGTGCTTTCATTCTTATTCTTTGTATCAATCATACTCTTCCAACATTGTACTCATTTAGCAAAACCCATATCCTAGAGGTATCTTTCCTTTCATCTTGTAAATGAGAAAAAAGGGTTTTACCTTAGCCTTTAAAAGATAGTGTTTAGAGGTTATGCCATATCCTTGAAAAGGCAAGGTTGTGCTTGATCCTTAAAAAGACATAAAGGTTTTAACTTAGTCTTAAAAAGTTAAGGAAGTTGTATCATATCCTTGAAAATTCAAGGTTGTGATTGAATCTTTGAAAAGGTATTATATTGAATTCATTTGTATTGAATTCATTCCATAGTGTTTAAACTCCTTACTTGGCTAGGGAAGATGACGTAAGCACCTAAGAGAGAATACCAAACCTCTATCAATCATTTGTGTAATTTTCTCTTTACTCTTCATTATATATAAACTTGTACATTTAACTTTGAAGAGTTTGGAAAATTTATTTTCAACTTTCTTTTTCAATGATTTATTTATCAAATTATTTTTGGTATGTTTTAAAGTGCAAACAAATTTAAGAAACTTATCTTCAAACTTGCCTTTATTAAAAGTTGAATTTGTTGAAAAGTTGTTTATAAATCTAATTCACTAGAGGATATTTCAGCATTATTATTGAGCTAATATTTTTACCAAAAAGAAAAAAAATAATTAGCTTAAAAATGATAAGAAATTAGGATTAACTCTTTATTTTAAAAGTAAATTTTGTTTCTTTATTTTCAAGAGAAGTAGTTTGACTAGTAGAAATTCTCGAGAGTTTCAATTTATTTCCTTGACAAGCCAGCTAAATTTTTTACTAGAATCATTTTTCTTTTTCTAGGGATAAGTCTACCTAGGTAGTTTATATATAATTGAGTTTTTCATGTTCTTTTCAATCGGTATTGTATGTTATGTGAGTAAAAATCTATCAGTGCATTTTACTCCAATTTGTTTTGATAACTTTCAATTTTAAGATTAATCTGTTTTGTAAAGTTTCATTTGTTTTGATATAAAATATATTTTTAAGACTTATAGATGTAAAACCTTTTACTAGTCAACATGAAAAATACTCATTAATCACGTAAAATGTCTTACACTTTTGAGGGGTATAAGACATTTTTCATGGACCAAAAAAAAAAAACCCTCTTATACTAAGTCTAACAATATAAGTTTGATGAATATTAATATTTAACTTAAAATATTTAAAAAATTAATATTTAACTTAAAAAGTTTAACTTAAGATGTTAAATTTAAATATTCAATACTATTAGAATTAAAAAATATTTTTTAATGAAATCATTCAATGCAATTAAAATTTTTATTTATAAATTGAATAAATCTTACTAATAATTATAATAAAAAATTTTCAATAATCATTTTTTGATAAATATACATTTATAAATATAGGTTTTGGATGACTTACAAAATTGATAAATATTGATATCTTTATAATGTTATGGCAAAAGAATGATGAGAAGAAATTTTATTTTTTTTGAAAATTAGGGCTTACTTTTATTACAAATATGTGGTTAAATGCATTGGAAAATATCATTATTGATTTTGCCTATTTTCATTCTTAATTTTGATCTTAAATTAGTGAAAACCAAATGACACTGTTGTTTTGTAATCAACTCCTATTTGTATCTTAACCCTAGATAACAATACCAGTAATGGTGGAAAATATTTTTCATAGGACAAAACAAATACTTTAAAATTTTTTCGATAATTTATCTAAATAATAAAACATATTAAATTTTTTCATAAAATATTTTATATAGAAAAATTTTTTCACAACATGTTATTTTCCGGTTACCAAATGGGAAATTGAAAATTTTATCAGAAAAAATTTTCAATCTTTTTCCCTATTTGGAAGGAGAAAAAACTTTTAAAAATATAAAATATTTTACGTATCAACGAAAAAAATTGTATTAATCAACGTAAAATGTGTTATGTTTGATAAGGGTGTAAAACATTTCTCATCTGCCTTTTTTTACAAAAAAATAGTTTTGATAATTTATTCAAATAATAAAAAATATTAAATTTTTTATTAAATATTTTATACAAAAATAGTCTCCTTCAACAAGTTATTTTATGATTATCAAGTAGAACCAAACTAAAATTTCTTTTAAGCCTTACTTAAAACAAGCAATTGAACTTTGCTGTATAATATAACCGTGATGGTCCTAAAGGTTAAATATTAGTAAAAGGAGCATGAAATCGTTTAGGAAATAACGAATGGTTTGGGACAGCATAAGTATATAAGAGAGAAGGTGCTTCGAAGGTAAAGATGGAAGAGAGATTCCAAGCCAAAGCAGCGTGCAGCATGAGATTCCATTCAGTTTTCTATTCTCTTTTGCTCTTCTTTTTGGAAGCGTCCAACGCTCCAATCTTTAATTTTCTTTTGATTTCTTAAACAACTTTGAGTCTAACTTCTCCAAGTGTCATGCCTTCGTGCCTTCACGAATCTTGCTCCTTTCCTCGTTGACCAAATGAAATGGAGAGCAGAGGAGAGGACAACTACTCAGGCCTACCTCATATAATTATATTATCAAGCCTTGACTCCTGCCTCTCTATGAGTGCAATCTTTCTCTTCTTTCTTGGTTCTTCTCATCTGGAGGAAATGGCTTGCATGTCCCTGGCCTAATATATCCAGATAATCAAATGATTTAGTCAACTCAACATTGAGAAATCAGTCATACTAAAATGTGGAACAAATTCTAGCTGACAGGCTGACAAGAAAATGAGACAGCCTGCCCACTACCTTATATCAACTTCAAACTTGAAACCCTTTCCTAACCCTTCCCCTTATATAAACCAGACCCCTTTTACCTTTTCTTCCACCCAAACTTCTCTTCACTCTATCTGCAATGGAACACCGAGTTGAAAGGCAGCAGAAAGGTGTTTCATCCGACAAACATGGCAAGTTCAAGGAGAGAATTGCAAACAATATTAGCAGAAGCAAGTTTGTTGGGGTAAGGCAGAGGCCTTCGGGGAAGTGGGTAGCAGAGATCAAAGACACAACACAGAAGATAAGAATGTGGCTGGGGACGTTTGAGACAGCTGAAGAAGCTGCCAGAGCTTATGATGAAGCTGCATGTCTTCTCCGGGGTTCGAATACACGAACCAATTTCGCAACTCATGTTCCTAGCAATTCTCATCTGTCTTCGAAGATTAGAAACCTCCTCGATCACAAAAAAGGTTTAAGGCAAGGCAATTCTGCAACCAACTCGAAGAAAACCACGATTAAAGCTAACACTATACTTAGTAGTAATAGCAGCAGTAGCAGTAATGCTAGTAGTAATGACAGTTTTCTATCCAACAGCGGCGATGATAGCTTTCTAGCATGTAATTCCATGAAACAAGACATCCAGATCTTTGATGGTGCATACAGGCCAGATATGAGCTATCGCATTGGGGAACTTGAACCAGCCACGTCGCAGTTTGGTCAGTCCTGGCCAATCTCAACGGGGTTTGATCAGATTCCTTTAAACCAACAGGGAGTGCAGTTGCCACAAACTCTTGGTCCTCTGTCTAATGCAATTGATCCAGAGCTACTGGAATTCGAACGCTTGAAGGTAGAAAGACAGATAGCAGCATCTCTATATGCAATGAATGGAGTTGATGAGTACCTCGAGAGTGAGTTTGACCTTGGTGATATTCTCTGGGATCTTCCAACACATAGCCAGTTGTTCTGCCCAAGCTGATTCTCTCTTTCTACCATGGAATTTGAAGCACATTAAGGCAGCTGGAAAACTTCGGCAGGTGGCAGCTATGCTGCTGATTGATGAGTAAAATTGAGATTGTCTGTTTCTAGTATCGCTAGGAGGAAATTCTATTAGGTGAGGCAGGAACAACAATTTTTCGCTGTTGGATGCAAATTACTACTTATTTCAGTTATGCTCTGCAAATCTTGTTTCTCTTACTCTTTTAAGTCCAGAATAAATGCTGGTAAATCTGCGAGTATCAATTTTTCCTAGACTGATTTGTCAAAGGAGAAGAGATATTTGCTAGGTTCGTTCATGATTGATTCCTAGCCATAATGAGCTTTCCATTCCATGATTATATATTTCCATATTGACCTTTGTACATTCTTATGCATATCCAGTTTGGGAAGCATTCCGAAATTAACTCTTTCAAGCATTTTGAGAAAAGCAAACTCTTAAGCCTCACTCCATCCCTATTTCTCTTTCAATGAGCCTTATGAGTTAGAGGAAATCTTTCAAATACTTTCCTGTTATTTACTATCATCAATGAAGTTGTACATGATTACCATATATGTAACCGATCTTAAAACTCCCCGGGATACGAGGAATACAGCATGCAAAAATCAACCGGATATGGGTGACTATCACAAATCAGACAAGTGGAGGCTCCAGGCAAGTTCAGGTCAAGCTCGTTGAGATGCCGTGTACTCGTTTGGATCTGTAGCATTGTTTGCAGCAAATGATCTCTGCCTGGAGTTTTAACTTTTGGTTTAGAGAAGCCAAAGGTTGGGTTTGCATAATAATTTACTGGTCATTTCTACCTGAATAAGTACTCTGCGCCATGTTGCTTCGGTTCATTTTCGTGAGGCGCACTCCTGACAAATCCTAATCTTATACCAAGGCAACACCCATTGCAAATAAATGTTGAAAATCTTCCTGCAATTAGTGAGATGGTCGAAGATAACAATATAACCGTTATTTATGAATCAATACGGTTTTCACCCGAGAAATATCTAGACTTGAGTTTGCATGGTGGAAATGTATACTGCTGAGTTTAATGAGCCCTAAACTGAACATTTTCCTCTATTATCTGCGTTCCTTCAAAGGAGGGGACCAAGCACACGAGCATTAATCCAAGAATATTCCATCTTTATAACCGACAGGATACCAAAGCCTGTGAAGCAACTTTTCCTTACCCTCTCAATATGCACAGTGAAAGAAGATAGAAATACTGAGGCATAAAAGACCATAATTTCTTCAATTTCCCCCTCTCCCAAGTAATTTTAGCAATTTTATGGAATCTGTTTAGAATTCAGTGCTTGAACATTTATCACCCTCAAGTTCGATATATAATCCCATGCCAAAAACCCATTTACATGTGGCCATTATACTGCTAGTACGATTTTTTTTTTTTTGCCAAGATTATAAGGCTATTATGTGCCTAGAAAGCATCTTTCATATATAAATGTAAAAAGCATTTCTAATATTCACCCATAAAAAAACACATTTCTGAAGAAAATGGCATGCAACGCAACTCTAAACATTACTTCAATGAGATGGCATACAAAGGCTTTAGAAGATTATAGGGACAATTCGACAATCGCACAGCACCCGTAAAGATGACAGTGCTAAACAAGAAGACAGAAGGATAGGACACCGGGAAAGGGGGTGGGCAAACCGTCATACACTGAACCATCTTCAAAGTAAAATTCCTTTGCATAAGTACATCAATAGTCCTCACCTTCCTCTTCATCTTCCACACCTTCAGCACCAACTTCTTCATAATCTTTCTCAAGAGCTGCCAGATCCTCACGGGCTTCTGAGAATTCACCTTCTTCCATGCCCTCACCAACATACCAATGCACAAAAGCTCTCTTCGCATACATGAGATCAAACTTGTGGTCAATGCGTGAGAACACTTCAGCCACTGCTGTATTGTTGCTGATCATGCAAACAGCTCGCTGCACCTTAGCAAGATCTCCCCCAGGTACAACAGTTGGGGGCTGATAGTTAATACCGCATTTGAAGCCAGTTGGGCACCTGCACAACCCAAGAAAAAGGTTTTTCAGACAAAAGGGAACATTGAACACAAGGACAACCTCAGGTTGCATTACTGTATATAAGCAATAGCTATGCCCACATTAACCCCTTAGCATTTGATAAGCTCCTAAAAGTAAATCTAGATAACCTAGTATTTTGTTGGTGAGGCATGGGGCACATGTCAGGTTGCATGAGTCAAACTTCACAAAACAAAATTCTGGTGACAAGATGCTGTTCCTAAAGCATTCATGAGGCACAGTTTATTATTTGGGAATTGACAAAATTTCTTTGCTAAGTAGAGGAAATGACAACTACAGTGGCTGAGGGTGGAGTAGTATCAATGGAGAACCAGTGATGTAGAGCTTTCCATCCTTCTAGACCAAATTTCTCTTACCAGTCAACAAACTGCACAGTTCTCTTGGTTTTGATAGTAGCAACAGCAGCATTAACATCCTTGGGGACAACATCTCCCCGATACATCAGGCAGCATGCCATGTACTTCCCATGCCTAGGATCACATTTTGCCATCATGCTTGCGGGCTCAAACACAGCATTTGTGATCTCAGGAACTGATAATTGTTCATGGTAGGCTTTCTCAGCTGAGATGACAGGTGCATATGAAGAGAGCATGAAATGGATACGGGGATATGGAACAAGATTGGTTTGGAACTCTGTAACGTCCACATTAATGGCTCCATCAAATCTTAAAGAAGTTGTCAAGGATGATATGATTTGAGATATCAGTCGGTTCAAATTGGTGTAAGTTGGTCTCTCAATATCTAGAGATCTCCGGCATATGTCATAAATTGCTTCATTGTCCAATAGCACAGCGACATCTGTGTGCTCAAGAAGGGAATGAGTGGACAAAACGCTATTGTAAGGTTCCACAACAGCAGTTGAGACCTGTGAGTTTAACAAAGAAAAATCCAAAGGTGAGTCCTACACTATCAAGTCAATATTTTTTCATAATATTTTAAAATAAATAATCATGCTCCAATAAAAGTTTCCATATTTTAGAATGCATACATAATACCACAAAAATATTTCAAAAGCTAAACAAAAAGGGTAGATATAGCAAACAGAAGTGTGATTGCCACAGGCTTTTCTGCCGTCTGTGGTGTCTGGACTCAGAAGATATCCATGGGTTACCAGTATCAGAACATGCAAGTACCTGAGGTGAAGGATAGATGGTGAACCCAAGCTTTGACTTCTTTCCATAATCTACTGACAAGCGCTCTAACAACAAAGAGCCCAAACCAGAGCCAGTTCCACCGCCAACAGCACTAAACACCAAAAACCCTTGCAAACCAGTGCAGTTATCAGCTAACTTCCTAACTCGATCCAGGCAGAGATCTACAATTTCCTTCCCAACTGCAAAACAAAAGCGGAATCAGACGAAGCCAAAAATACCAACAGCATTGAGAAATTGCAGAAACGGTGCTTCTTACTTGTGTAGTGGCCTCTGGCAAAATTATTAGCAGCATCTTCCTTGCCAGAAATAAGCTGCTCAGGGTGGAAAAGTTGACGGTAAGGACCAGTCCTAACTTCATCAATAACAGTGGGTTCCAGATCAACGAAGACTGCTCTAGGCACATGCTTTCCGGAACCCGTTTCGCTGAAGAAAGTGTTGAAAGCATCATGCGCTACACCCACAGAGGTGTCACTGCAATCACCATTAATCTTCATCAACACGCAGTTTTTCAAAGCAAAATTGGATCAAAACGATTCACCAAAGTTACACCTATCAACTGACACAGCAGCAACAGCAATACTTAAAAGAACAATTAGCAAAAGAATACCCACTTTCTTTCAAGATAAGACGATCAACTATTGTTCCTTTACAGGACTGAAAAGCGTTGCAAATTTTAGTCATGGTGATCGCTTCTCTAGGATAACATTTTAATTAATTAATTTCCGTTAAAATTGAGTACTGAGAAATTCCGAAACAATTTAAAAAGGAAATGATAGAAAAAGAAGAAAGAATGAAAGGCAAAACCTGGGCATCATTCCATCAGGGTGAATTTCATGTTCAAGACAATAGAGCTCCCAGCAAGAATTCCCAACCTGAATCCCAGCTTGGCCTATGTGGATGCTTATAATTTCCCTCATCTCTCTCAATCCAAAAGAATCCCCTTCTTCTTGTGCAAATGCAAAGTAATAAATGGAAACAAAACCACAATTTCTCTGGTTTTCAATTAATGGGATTTTATCATTCTTTGGCGTCCGTAGACGGGCTCCGCCTGTGGCGCCAGCCTTTACGTGGAGCCCACGTTTTCTTTTGCACGGGGCCCTCTTAAATGCCTATCCTTGTCTCTTCCCCTCTCACAGCTCAAACGGAGATAGAAAGAAATATATAGCTTTTTTTAAAAAAAAATTGATTATTTATTTTTATTTTTTTGTAAATTAAAGTTAATATTTAACTGCTATTTATTTTAATTCTATGGGTACTTAAAATTTTAAAATTAACTTTTAAAAATTTCAAAACTCAAAATATCCTAATCTTATTTTATAATTTTCTAATTTTCATATGATATCACAAAGAATTCTAATTAAAGTTGGTTAAGTTTGACTTAAGAAAATTACAAAAAAGATATTCAATTTGGTACAGAGTAACAAAAATGAGATTTTAATATACTTAATTAAGTTTAATGATATTTAATGTTAGAAAGTAAAAATATAAACAAAATTTATATCACTTAATAGAAAAAAATGGAAAACTAGACATTAAAAAAAATAAAAAACTTTAATTTTTTATGTCTAGAGATAAAATGATAGATATATTGAGATAAAAAAATTTGTTACATAAGTATTTATTATAACGTCAACCATACATGCTCTAATATTTTTTGAATATTTTATTTTAATTTGTCGTATTTATAATTCATGTAACAAGATGTCACGTGCTAGAATTTAAGCTCAATCTCGTGTAGTCTTAACCTTTGAAAATAAAGTTTAAGTAAGAGTTAAAACTCGTAAAATAGCGAAACCAAAAAGAAAAGGAAAAGAACGAGAGCTTTTAAAAAATAGAATGCTTTGTATTTCTCTGTAGTGTGTTATAAATGAAGAGCCACCTATTTATAAACTAAAAGTCCCCTTATTAGATAAGATTAGATTACAAGATAGAGATAAAATAAAAAAAAAATAATGATAAGGGATTTAATTTGAAGAGATAATATTCAAATTAAGTCCAAATCTTAATCTAATATAGTAAATCTACATCTAAACCTGGATATATATTAACAAATCTAAAGTTCAAATTAGATTATGCTACATGGGCTGGGCCAATTGTCTGGTCTATCAAGGTTGTCTAGCTTATCTAGATTGCCTAGCCTGCTTAGATTATCATTTGTTAGGCTGCTTGGCTTGCCTGGATTAGCCTGAACTCTTAGGCCATGACATCCACCCCCACTCATTCCAACAACGCCCTTATTGTTGAGAAATGCACTTTTACGTCACAGTCGTCTTTTTGCATGTCTTTGCTTCAAATGACCTCATTGGGTGCACTTTTGGCTTCGACACACTTCTTTGGAATGCACCATCTCCTTGGGCACTTGTTTTGGACTAATCCTTCATTGCTTCTACCTTTTGGTCTCATGAATTCTTAGCTGGTCTCGATGTTTTTGTGCCCATATCTTGGGTTTTTTTGCCCTTATTTGTGGCAGCCCACCGTCATTGGTCTTAGTCTCCCTAGGACTATATGACATTTAGCTATCGTTCGTTGCTTCCCAAAGTGCAACACGACATTGCCTAATTTTAGTGCACTCTTTAGCTCCCTTGACCATGGATGATAACACTCTTTGCCACTACAATAGTCTTTCTCCTTTCCTTATTAACACTAAGCTCCCCAAGCATGAACGCTCATTGGGTCCCTTTATACATTAGTTGTCACTTTCGTTGCTTGGATCTTCTTTGTCCATCATAGAGGCCACAAGCTTTTATGCATGGGGCAATCCTTTGTCAAGTGCGATTCCTCGCACAAGAAACATTTAAGGGGCTTTCTTTCCTTACCCTTCCATTTAGTGGCTGCCTTGGTCTAACGACATGACAATTTTATGTCAGCCTCTTCTTTTAACCCACTATCTTTCTCTTCCCCACCATTGTCATTTTTCTTAGACTTGGAAAAGAAAGGCTTATTGTCAGATTTGTGTAAATTCAATAATGATTTTGCCACGGTCATAGCCTCTGTGATGTTCAGCATACTTTTCTTTTAAAGTTCTAACTTGGCCTATGGTTTGAGCCCACCCATAAAAGAAAATACTAATTCCCT